ACCAGTGCACAACCAAATCTTTGCAACAGCAGCGGCGCATACACTTGTGGCCGCTCGCGAAGTGAGAGCCAATCCTCCCATATTGGTGGGGGATGTGTCTGACTGACTACTGGAAACCTGTGCTCGAAAACTACACAGATCAACCGGCGTCAAATATTTTGAGACCTCCAGAAACTTTCACTCGCAAGGTTTGGCAGTGGTTCTGTCCCGAAAGGCCCGCTCCTTTGAGCGCTACTCTTTGCAGAGAGGTTGGTTTTCGCTATTCGATGGATGTCCCTGCGGCGCTCTCAATGATCGCTGCGAGACTGGCTCGTCTCAAAAGGGTCTTGCTGACTCCGGAGCTTGTTCGGCTCAGTCGAAGCACTCTCGCAGACCCTCACAATGCGATGGTCTGCGACTCGGACAAGGGGATGCTGGCGACATGTGCGAGATGCCATTGCGCACGGCATGTGCTGCATACAGACTGCGCTACGCTGGCTCCAAACGTGCGCGCTTCATGCAATCGGCATGGCGGTCTCTGACAATACCCTTTCCATACCTTAGTGGGCCCTGGAAACGACAGGGCCGTTTTTCTTACGGGTTCCGTTTTGCTGTTTTTTTTGCCAGTTCCGACGCCGTGTTCTACAAGTTCCGTCGCCGTTTTTTGATCTGTTCCGGCTCCAATTCCAATCATGGAGCCGTTTTTTAACCGTTTCCGGTCGCCGTTTTTTTTGTCGTTTCCATTTTCAAGGGGCATCCTTGTGTGAAAACGGTGAAAAAACGGCCCTGCCGTTTCCGGGGCCCACAAAGTTCCATACCGTGTTATGTCAAGGGGCAAGCGAGGAGCGATCGCCTCCGCGGCTCCAGTCTCTCGGCTGGTCGAGGGCCTCTGCCGAGCCAGTGCATCTCTCTTCTCGCACTGTTGCTGCGCGTGTGCACGCGCATGCATACGTGCAGACGCGTCTCACTCCGATCGCTCGAACAAAAGCGCGAACTCAGCGGTTTTTGAGGCGGACCCGCGTAGTCCACACTGGTGTGGCCCATCGTGATGCAAGCGCCGCGCACGATGCAAACTGCGAGCGCTCGTCCGCGTGCGTGTCAATCAGGTGACGGGGTAATGGAAATCGCCGCATCTGTGAACGTAGGGCGGGCCTTGCGCACGCAAAGCCTCAACCTTGCCAGACCCCTACATACAACATCGTCCGAGCCTCTTGGAAATGCCCCTGCATCAGAGTCCGATCCTCCATCCTGATTTCATCTTTCATATCCTCGTCGTCGTCGCCGTCGTCGTCCTCCTCCGTCCCATGCTCCCTGTCCTCATCTTCGTCTACCTCCCTTGCCTCCTCTTCTCCTCACGCCCCCCATCCCCCTGCACCTCGCCCTTGTCACCCTGCTTCATCGTGCTTCTACCTCGAATCCCCTCTCCCCTCAACCCGTGGTGCTCCGTGGAGAACCGATGATACAGTTTTGACGACCTACTTGGGTGAGATCGTGCGTCGCACTTTTGTGCCGCAGCGGTGTCAGGGGCGGCCGAGAGGGGGGCATGCAAGAGGGGGGGGGGGGGCACAAATCGTGGCCAGCGGCACGTGCGCGGCCCAAGGGGGGGGGCAGGGGCGTGATGAATCCAGAAGAGGCGACATGACATCTGGGGAGATCTTATGGCCCCGGCCATGATACCCACCCCCCTAGGTCATCAGCCCCCCCTCGGCCGCCCCGGAGTGTCGCAACGCACGCGCGCGGCGTCCGCAGACGAACCGGGGGCGCTGCTGGGCGACCTGCGCGCCAGCGGGCGACCGGGCAGGGGATGGCAGTCGCGGGGGAGGGCGGACGCACAGGCGGCGCATGCAGACGCTGCAGGACTTCTCGTGAGCTGCGGGGCGGCCTTCGGGCTCCGGGCCAGAGTCAGAGAGCCCCAGAGGTGCGTTGGCAAATACGGTGGGGGCACTGGACAAGGAACCCCTGGGTAAGGAACCCAGGGTCTGGAAGCCTGTGGAAATCCAGTAGTGGATCGGCCATGGAGATCACCACCGCCCTCATCGGACAAGGCATCCTCCAGGGTCTGCAGCCTCCTGGGCGCATTCCTTGAACTAACGCCCCCGCCGAAAGTGAAGCAACAAGTTCCGCTGCCGGAGGCGCGGCTCCGAAACAAGAAGACGCCGTGCAGACACCGACAGCGACGACGGCGGCTGCGGTGGAGGCGAGGGGGAGGACGGCGAGGGGAGGAGTACGAAGGCGAGGAGGGAACAGCACTGGCAGGCGCGAAGATGCCCTCCGCCTGGACGGGTCTCAGACCTCCTCGCCAGCTCGGAGGGCCACCTGAGAAGCCAGGAAGGCGCCTCAGGCGGTGCCTGAGAACCCCCTTTAGACGTGTTCGAAGCGGATCCGGGACTGCGAAGAAAGCCCCCAGGGGGGCACCGGAGGCACAACGAAAGAGGGGCTATGAGGGGCAACGACAGGGAGGGATTGGCATGGGGGGGGATGCATCAACCTGCAATCGGCGATACATCGCCGATAGATCGGCGACAGACCTCCGATAATGAATCCGCACCTTCCTGGGCAGGTTGGGGCGATTGTGGGTCGATGCATCCCCCCCTGTGCCTATCCCCGCTATCGTTGCCCCCGAGGCGAAGACTCCGAGAGGACTTCAGATGACCTCAAGCCGTTCGTTGGCAGAACTGGGTGTGGTGGGACCTGGTTCAATGATGTGTGCTGGGGGACGCCTCCCCCCCCCCCCGCCCCGTTTCATTAACCGGAACTGCCGTCACCCGAAAAACACCAGCTACGGCAGACCTGGTTTAGTGGTTCTGGCTAATGTAAAAGCTCTGGGGCCCTATCACTAACTGGGTCCCCTTACCTGGAGTCCTGGCTATACCCGATCAAGAGGGCCACCACTCACAAACCTGACGGCCTCCGAGGCAAGCTCGGCACGAATTCAGAAACAAAGGGTGAAAACGCCTGCATAGAGTCGGACTAAGGCCATACAAACATCCCTCAGGAACATGAGACCCTCCGCCGGCCAAAACACACACAGAACATGCCAGGGCACCCTCCGCAGGATGCACAATAACAGAAACAAGCAAGACGAACGCTAGGGTACCCTCCCCGAACCGACCTCGATCTTATACCTCGGTCCGGCTGTAGCCGAGCCGACGCTCCGCTTGCTTCTGCGTCCCCTTCCTTTCTTTTGCTCGCGCGCACGGGGGGAAACGAGAAGGGGCGGGGCCGTCTCAGAAGGCTCGGAAGTCCCCCAGCCTTCTGAGGAGTTTTCGAAGCCTTCCCCGAAGGCACAGAAAATACATCTCAGAAGGCGCGAGGGCTTCTGAGGAGCCCCGCCGCCTTTTGAGAAGGCCTTCTCCTTCTCACTTCCCCCCTCGCTCGCCGCCGACTCTTGCAGCCTCCCTCCCTCCGCCACTCCCCGCCTCCGCTCCCTCGCCCCCCCTCTTGTCGTCGCGCCCCACGCTCGCCCGAGCGAGCCCGGGGACGTCTCCTCTCGCGCCCCCCTGCGCCGGGGGCCCCTCCGTTCGTCCCCCGTCTCGCCCACCTCCATGGGGAGGACGCGGGGCGCGAGGAGGAAGAGAACGGGGGGGAAGCGGACGGACGACGACCGACGGCGACGGCCCCACACATCCCATACTTTCCCATACTCTCCTGGGAGTCGACGATTGTGTCTGTGTGTTTTTTCCCCTCCTGAAGCCACGCACGTGTGAACCCTGCCCCCACAGGACAGATTTCTCAGAAACCGGCGGGGGGTCAGAATTTGGTGGACGCCTACAGCCAAGTGGACCCCAGCGGGGGTGTCCCATACGTACCCCTTCGTCGAGTAGACACGTGGCGGGCTCTGGAAACCCTGCACCCAAAAATGTTGCCATCTCGTGGGGGGTGCACATCTGACTTCCGCCGGCCGACACCGACCTTCCGCCGCCTTCCGCCGAGGAAGAGATACGAACTCCTTCGGTCCTCACGTAGAGTTAGGGCATGCAGGGGGTTGCCAGAGGCTTCTTGGATGGGGTCCGAGTAGATGGTGTCGGAAGATCGCGCCACATCGCCGATGCGTCGGCGACATCGGCGATGCATCGGCAACGTCGTCGTGGAGAAAGTTGGGCTCTGGATCGAGCCGCATCGCCGATGTATTGGCGATGCTTTGGGCGACCCAGAAGGAGGTCCAGCTTCAAAGGGGTGGTGCAATAGATTTGGGGCAATTGTCTTGCAAATGCATTGCGCCGGAAAATTGTATTGCATTGTACACGCAACTAATGTACTGCACGCGAACATCCAGCAATGCATTTGCGTCCCGGAACGTATCGCACGCCCCAAGTGTACTGCAACCCCACAAATCGATTGCACCAAATCTATTGCGCCACCCCCTTGTCGCTGGACCCCCTTTCGGGCCAACCCGAGATGCGGCGCGTTCCTCCGACCCCCTTCTGGGGGTGCCCAGACACGGTGGTGCCTCCCCCCCTCCGCGCCTCCCCGCCTCCTCGCCCCCCCCCCTTTGTCGTCGCGCTCCACGCTCGCCCGAGCGGGCCCGGGGACGCCTCCTCCCGCGCCCCCCTGCGCCGGGGGCCCCTCCTTTCGCTCCCCGCCTCGTCCAGCTCCATGGGGGAGGACGAGGGGCGCGAGGAGGAAGAGAACGGGGGGGAAGCGGACGGACGACGACGACGACGACGCCCTGCGCTGGGGGGTTGCAGACTGGCGAGACGAAGGCGATCGCGGCTGCGACGGCGGCGGCCGGCGACGGCGGCCGGCGGCCGGCGGCCACCACGGCGGCCGGCGACGGCGCGGCCTGGGGCGCAGCCGCCCCGCGGCGCGGGCGCGCGCCCCTCGGGGTCGGCCTCGGAAGCGGGCGCCTGGGGTCGTCGCGATTGTGTCGTCGTCGTCGTCGTCGTCGTCGTCGTCGTCGTCGTCGTCGTCGTTGTAGTCGTCGTCGTAACCGTCGTCGGATTCGTCGTCGCAGTCGTCCAAAGAGGGGAAGGCGGACTACGGGGCAGAGGGAGGATGCAGAGGGCAAAGGAAAGAGAGAAGGGGAGGGAGGATGATGATACGGAGGCGAAGGAGACGAGGATGAACGGGAGGGGAGGGGGACGAGCAGCGGGAAGTGGATGGGGTGAGGGGCACAGGCGAGAGTCGGTAGAGAGGAGGGGAGGGACGAGGATCGGGAGGAAAACGACGGGTGAAAGATGGGGGGGGGGGGGCGAGACGACGAGGCGCATGGCCGACCAGTGCCAGCACCGGCGTGGAGCGCGGAGCGGTGCGTGGAGCGCGGTGCGCAAGGTGCCGCCGCGGGGCCCTCCGGCGTCCCCCAGCGAAGGCCGACAGGGCTGATTGTGAGCCCATGTCCCAGATCCCCGACGTCGCGATTCCTTGGCTGCTTGCCTGTCAGGGGCACTGTGGCTTCGAAAGCCGGCGTGTGGATCGCGCGGTCGAGGATCGGTGGCTCGTGTTCTTTGGTCGTGGTCTGGTTTTTGGTCGTGGCTTGCGGGCCCTTGTCTCCTGTATGATGTCCCGTATGGTCTCCCGTGTAGTCCCTAGCGCTTTAGTTGAGTGTGGTGTAGTAGCCTGCGCCAGGTATAGTGTAGCTGTCGCATCGCAGCATGTATCAGCAATCATACGTATATCATGCTGTAGTTTAGAAGATTCAGTATGATAGATGAACACAAATAAAAAAACTGCCAGCCGATACGTGTGGTAAATGCGTGATGCCTGGAACTCTCTCGATCCCTTCTCTGGAACCCATCTCTCTTCTGTTTACTGTTTTTGTCGATGGCCTCGGGCCCGAAACGAAACGGGCCTCTGGAAGCCTAGTTCGTGAAAACATGCAGGTCTCAAAACACGCGACGTCGGACGGCTTTGCAGGTCTCCGAAGTCTCCACATGTCTCCATCGGCTCCTGGACACCATGGACACGCCTCGGAACCTTCGACGGGCCAAACACGTGAAACAAACCGGAAAGCCCCGATCCTCCCCAACCTCACTCGTCCTACCTTACGGTTCCCGGACCGTCGGGTTGGGCGAGGGGAAGGTGGAGCGGGAGGCCAACTGCGGCCAGGCGTGATGGACCGCGCCAGGGTGCCCAGATGGCTACGGAAGGAGGCGGGGAAGCATGCCGAGGAGGGGGCGAGGGGTGAAGCAGGGGGAGGAGAGGAGGTGGAGGAATTCTGAAAAGGGGGAGGAGGATCGGGGAGAGGGTGGATGAGACTGAGAGAAAAAGGGGGGGCGAGCTAGAAACAATAAAAGGGAATAGCAGGGGTAGGGGAAGGACCAATTCAGATGGAGGGGCAAGGGTGCGGACGGGAAGGAGGGGCACATGGAAGCACTACGTGGAGGACAAGGGAGAGGAGGAGGAGGAGGAGGAGGAGGAGGAGGAGGAGGAGGAGGAGGAGGAGGAAGAGGAGGAGGAGGAGGAGGAGGAGGAGGAAGAGGAGGAGGAGGAGGAGGAGGAGGAGGAGGAGGAGGAGGAGGAGGAGGAGGAGGGGTTTGTTTCTCCAACGCACCCGTCCGACGACCGACCGTCAGGCCTCTTGGGGAGGGCGAAGCCCGCCGCGTACCCGAGGTGCAGGTGGAGGCCAACGCGCGCCGGGACCCGGCAGGCCGCAAGCGGCACGGCGGCGCTGAAAACGACGACGCCGCACTGGAGACCACCACGATTCCGGACGAGAACACGATGAAGAAGGCAAGAGGTCACTTGTTGCTCACGTGCGCCAGTGGGTCCACCAGCAGCCGCCTCCCGCCCTGCCAACATCCCATCCCATTGCCGAGTACTGGACGGGTTGCTAACCCCCCGCGCGCCACTCGCGTCCACGAACGCCTTCTGGCCCGTACGCATAATCTCAATGTAGAGGACCTGGTTGTAGACCGCCGTGACCTCGCCGACCCTACCGATGAACTCGGCCTCCGTGGCCACCACGTTTGCGTCCTTTGAACTCTTCCAGCGGCCACGAATAGCCACCGCATTGGTCTGGGAGCGAGATGCCGTCGCAGCTGTCGGCCGAGACCTCGGAAGGCCAATCTCATGATCGACAAGACCCCCGCAGATCGGCCACGCCCGAGGACAGCCCAGGCAAACCGACACTCCGCACGAGCGTATTCTCTAAGTTCTTCCGCGCATCCGCCTAGCTAGGGCTATAGAGGCTCCGCAAGTGAAACCTCAACGTTTCCACCTCCAGAGCGAAAATGCATGGACTGCAGCATCGGCACAACCTCCCGCGCCTTCCAGAAGACGCGCGCCAACATTTCGGCCACGAGGATCTGAAACACCGTGCGAGACTCGTACGCCAGGAAGGGAATCAGCACCACCAAGTTCCTGAATACGGATGTCAGCATTCGCACCAGGCGCCACGGGGACCGCCTCAGGAAGCACGTCATCAACCCTAGATGCGAGGACATCCGCGTCCGTGTTGAAGGAGTAAGGAGGCAGCGCGAGAAGACCATCGAGGGAATGGGGCCCAGAATCTGCATCAGCACGTGCACCACGGGCAGGTCCATGATGGGCGTGTTGCCACGGAGCGTTGGCAGGAAGGCCAGGAACTGACCTGCGCGAGGACGACTGCGACCAAGGATCACAATCTGGAGCTTGCCAAAGATCAGGAGCATCTTCACCTCGTGGCCGTGGGCGTCGGTGGCAACGATCTGGAGGGCCATCTGAGCCAGCATCATCGTCATCATCATCATCACCATCATCATCATCATCACCATCATCATCATTCTTATCATCCGTATTATTATTATTATCATTAATATCATTAGTATCATTATTATTATTATCATTACTATTATTAATGATTATTCATCATCAGCATCAGCATCAGCATCAGCATCAGCATCAGCATCCTCATCCTCATCCCCATCCTCATCCTCATCCTCATCCTCATCCTCATCCTCATCCTCATCCTCATCCTCATCCTCATCCTCATCCTCATCCTCATCCTCATCCTCATCTCATCCTCATCCTCATCCTCATCCTCCTCCTCCTCCTCCTCTTCCTCCTCCTCATCATCATCATCTCATCATCTCATCCTCATCCTCATCATCGCATCCTCATCCTCATCCTCATCCTCATCCTCATCCTCATCATCATCATCATCATCATCATCATCATCATCATCATCATCATCATCATCATCTGGCGGGCCACCTGAACCGTGGTCATCGGGCCCAGCACCATGTGCAACAGCCCTGGGGTGCTGAGATAACCAGATGTTGACAACACTCTTTCTGGCCCCGTGATGGCCATGCCGCATGCCCACAATCGACCACGACGTGCTCTTGCGCGAGAGTGATTCGAGGCAGGCGGAGCAGCATGCCGCACGAGGATCTTGGCCTTGCCCTTCGAATGGTCGGCGGCCGCCGACACAGTGATGAGCGTCGGAGCCCCCTCGATGCGCCGACGAACCCAGAACAGCCGTTGCAGGACCACCATTTGGAGGCAAGTCTCGGCAGGTGCCGTGGGAAAGCACCTGAGGCCCCGCAAGTGCCTAGGCCAAATGTGCTAGGAGGAGGAGGAGGAGGAGGAGGAGGAGGAGGAGGAGGAGGGGGAGGAGGAGGAGGAGGAGGAGGAGGAGGGGGAGGAGGAGGAGGGGGAGGAGGAGGAGGAAGAGGAGAGAGGAGGGACGAGGAGACAGCGGATGGAGGGCGGACGAGAGACTGGGGCTTGATGATATGGGAGGAAGTGGGAGGAGGCTGTCTTGGAAAGCTTCTGCGTGGTCTAGGGGTATCCCAGAAGCTTGTGACGGCGAGGGAGGACGAGGACGCCGAGGAGAAAGAGGACCACGCGTACGAGGGAGAAGAAGAAGAAGCGGGAGATGGAGGGTGGAGAAGAGGGAAATGAAGGGAAGTAGATGAGGGGAACAAGAAGGGTAGGAGGAGGCTGCAGAGAAGAGGCAGCTGACGGAGGGGGAGGAGGTTCGAGGTGGATGTAGGGTTAGGAATGAGAGCGGAGAGGAGAAGGAGGAACATGTGACAAGGGAGAGTTGACTCGGGCAGAGAAGGAACAACCACAAATCTGTCAGGTCTCCCTCGCGACTCACCGGGACCAGTTCTGGCGTTTCTTCTTTGCTGCGCTCGTGGCAGCCTGCGCTGCCTCACGAAGGTCTGCGATGCCCTTCGGGTCCCCCTTGCAGGAGTCCACAACAATGTTCTCGTCTGGGAATTTCAAGAAGAACGTCTCGTTCAGGTACAGTTCGGGCACAGAGTAGCTCGTGACCTCTGGAAACACGTCGCACAATTCGTTCACCCTAAACTCGTAATAATCCATCTGGATCTCGTACTGCTCCTTGGTCATTATCCTCGGAGACAGCATGTTCGCGACAAAGAGGCGCTGCAGACCCGTGTTCATCATTTTGAGAACGGTGGCGAACGAGCTCATCGTGGTTGCAAGATTCTTGGCCCTCAAAATGTGGCACACGTCGCCAGGCATAGCAGGGGCTGGCCTCAGGATTACCTTGTCTTTATGCTTCTCTAGTATGTCGTCGATGCATGGGCTTGCTGGCTCCTCGTTGGAATCCGCCGACCCTGTCGGCGTGTGGAAGACGCATCCCGGTGTCGTCGTCTTGCGTGGATCACCGTCGTCGTCGTCGTCGTCATCGTCGTCGCCCGAAATAAAAGAAAATCGAACACGAAACATAAAGAAATCGTAGTCGTGGCGAAGTCCCTCCCTACCCTCCCCACAGGGGGGGGGTCCCGGGGGGGGGGTCCTGGGGGGGGGTCGTCACTTAGATACGCACCCTCCCCCCGGCCTACTTTTCTGATTGTTTTGCCCATCCCGAACATGTGGGGGAGTGTCCTCCTCCCCCCTCTTCGCCTCCCCCTCCTCCCTCCTGCCTCCCTCCTCCTCGGGAGGGACCTTCCCTTTG